CAATACAAATGCAATTATTATTATTTAATTTTCTAAATTATACACAAGATGTACAATGATTTAATTATTACTAACATATTTTACAACTTTGATCACATTATTAACAAATTCCATTAAGTTCAAGATAACCAATTTAACAATCACAAGTTTTAGTAATTTCATTAAGTTGTCTAAATTAATCAGAATCACATTATGTGCAATTATTAGATGTAAATTCACATGCAGAACAAATTGAATTACATTTTTAACATAGTTGTAATCCAATATCATAATATCCTTATTAACATTTACAATTAGTTTCTAATTTCCTTGTTTATGGACATGATACACATTAATAAGATTGATTAATACAACTTAAACATTAAACATCACATTTTTAACATTTAACTGATTAGCCATCATCAAAATATCCAAATAAACATTTACAAGTGTTATTATAAAATACTCTATTTGAAATGTTAGAATCAACACATTAAATACATGATGATGAATCTCCAGAATTACAATTTAAACAGGAATAGTGACATTTTTAACAGATTTCAACTCCAGTATTATAATAACCTACATCACAATCACAAGAAAATAGTTAATCATTGTAAATTCTATTTGATTCAAATGAGCATAATTCACATTTTGTGTCGATGTCATTACATCTAAGGCATGAGTAATGGCATTCTAATTATTAATTTAGAAAATATATACATTAACAAATTTCATTTTATCCATCATCGTAATATCTTTAATTGCATTTGCATGTTTTGAAATCAGAAACTAACTATCTTAAACTGTTATCTTAACAAGAAGTACAATATTCAGATTATTTTGAGCATCCTTTACATTTGTAACTGCATTCTAATGATAACAATTGATAAATACTTTGGCAGACAGGCAATCCTGCATCATAATATCCTTCTTTGCAAAAACAAGTATTACCTACTTAATACCTATTATCTGTGTCGATACAAGATATACAATCCATTTCTTCTGTTCCTCCACATGTTGCACAAGAATAATGGCACCCTTACAGTTATATGAAAATATACTTTAGCATTTAACCAAACCATTAAATTCAAATGTACTTATTGAAGCACCTTAAAACTTAGAAGCACATAAACATTTATTTCCAACAAGATATCTATCATCAGAGCAGGATGTACAATTATCAAAATTGTCAACACATTCGTAACAAAGAGCACTACAAGCTAAAATTTTAGTTTAATAATTACTTGCACATTCAGAAAACTTCCAATTTCAAAATAATGTGGTTAGCATTTACATTAATTAAGCTTAAGTTCTCTATATGACAATGAATCACATGAGAGACATGAATTTTCAGTTTAGGTCTGACAAGTTTTACATTTGAGGTGGCATTCTATAATTTATTTTTATATTACTTTCACAAGTTACGAAATTTTCTTAATCATAATACTCTTCTGGACAAAGGCAACCCAAATCAGAATCATAAGTACGCAATGAATTTAAAGGACAACTCAAACATTTTTCAGCCTACTCTTCACAGGTTTCACATTTATATGAGCATTCTATTATGCAAATAATCTTAGTAATTACTTTTGCATTTAGATGATCCTGGTTCATCATAATATCCATCAATACATTTGCATGAGTTTCCTTTTAAAACCCTAAGATGATAATCAATTGAACAGTTGATGCAACCTTCAGATGTATTATCGAAGCATTAAAAACAAGAATAATGACATTCTAATAATGTTTAAAATAGAGTTACTTGCACATTCTAATTAACCAACATCGTAATACCCCGATGGACATAGACAAGATGATAAATCAAATACTCTAGATGTTGAATCACACGTTAGACAGTTAAATGAAAGAGGACCATAGCAGGTTAGACAGGATATATCACATTATAAACAAGCTGGTAGTAATCCATCATCAAAGAAGTTTGAGGATTCACAAATACATTAAAACTAAGTAGCTAATGGATCACTAGGTGTTCTAGTTTGAGGACATTCTAAACATGCATTTTAGTCAATATTATCGGCACATCTTAAACATGAATAATGGCATTCTAGTTATATTATTTATTATTACTTTAACACTCAATGTTTTCTGTCTGATCATCAAAATATGATGTTTTACATAAGCATTCTCCTGATGTTGTTAAATATCTATGTGAGCTTTCTAAGCAAGAGGTGCAATGTGTTGGACCAAAATCATTACATATTCCGCAGGTATAATCGCAGACTTAATATAATTAATAAAAATACTTATGCAAATATCTGAAGTGCCATCAAAATCACCATAATTTTCTTTGCAATCACAATTCAGATTCTCTGAAAGAACTCGATTTTATCCAGGAATGCAAGTTAGACAATATTAATTTGAAGTATCATCAGCTGCTTAGAAACATTATTTGCATCTTGGATGGCATTCTTAATTTAGAATTACAAATACTTCCACATTTTGTTTCTTAGACTTCATAATCAGCATAACCAGATTTACAAGGACAAGAATTATCAACCTGAATTCTATTTGTAGTTATTTCGTCTGGACATAAAGTACAATCATTATTTGTTGGACCAGCACAATTTAAACAAGATAAATCACATACTTTATTATTATTCAGAATGTTTACCAATACATGTCACACTTCCATTTGTAGGTTCACAAGACCCAGGTTTACAAATGCATTATTGATCAACTAATATTCTATTTGTTTCAGGTGCACATGAGGTACATGAAAAAAAATTACCTATTTCACACTCTTAACAATAACCCTCAGAGCACATTACACACTCATCAATTTTAAGACCATAATTTGGCTTACATATGCAAATACCATTATCAATGGTTTAATTATTAAAACCATCACAAGTCGTACAAAAATCTGGATTTGTATCCAAACATGTAACACAGTTTGAGTTGCATGTGATTGGTTAGCATGTGCCATCCGATTGTAAACTATGCCAGGGCCAACAGGCTACACAGTTTATTCCTTCCTGATCCAAAAAGAAACAGCCTTATTTCTTAGTTTTAATCCCTAAAGAAATATTTTTTTAATCAAATTTACATAGGCAATACGAATTAACACTATCATAAATATACCCTGGATCACATAAAGTACATCCAATATTATAAATATATTCTCCAGTAGGTGATACTGATTGACTAATCACTGTTTATCTTGAGATATGACAAGAATGTTATCGTAAGCATTAATAAGTATCAGGATCATCATTTCTCAGTAATAATTTCTTATAATTAGAATCACAGATCTCACAATTTCGTCTTGCATGCTACATTGGAACTGAACTACAACTTAAACAACCCTCTTAACATTCTATACAATACTATTGAAAATGTACCAGCACAAAAATTGGAATCCAACAAAGTTCCCGGTAAGCAAACATTGCTAACTTAAAATTCATTAGTGCCAGAATCATAATAGCAGGTTGTAAACCCATTACAACCTATATAAGTTAATCCTATGATTTACGTAATGAGCATGTTTTATCATCAGAATTTCTGTTAACGTTGCCTGGAAGGCATTTACTACAACTTACACTGTCTTCACATTCCAAACAATTTGGTAAGCATTCTTAAATAAATTTGATTAATACATCGGGGTGGATTTGCAAATCTTTAATCAAAACTCCACATAACTTTTTTACACTCTAGTCCAAAGTAAGGAGGCTTGCAAAATTGGCAACTATAAATGCCATTTTGGTAAGCAGTTATCAAGCATCGTTTATTTATTTCATCTGTCAATGCTAATCTATTAATTCCCGATACTTACATTTGCAATAATATTTATAATTTCCATCTGCTAGCATCTCCATCACTAACTGATCACCATCAGCAAACCCACAATGAACTGTGGTATTATCCCTCGTTAGAGTCCCTGCTCCCCAAGGTTGGAATCTTGGATGGCATAAATGCTGAGTCCCATTTAATTCTATTTTCACAACAACATCTGTCACATCCTTACAAATTGAAGCATAAGCTAAAAATAAATCTTTTAAAATTACAGAAGCATTAGTGAGGATGCAAGCCAACCATCGGCACATGCAATTCTGGACATTTTCCTGTTGAATATTGATAATGCGAATAATAAGACAAGTAGTACTCTCTAAACCCAAAAACTTGTGAGATGATCGACATAAAAAGTAAGTTGATGATCATTTCTTATATTTAATATTATTCAAAAAAAAATCGAACCTTCCATTTCAATTTCTATCGTAGTATTAAACTAAAATTTGTTGTTTCGTCTTGTGTTTTGTCATGGGTTTTTATAATTAAATAAATAAAAAATTATTTTATTAATAATAGTTTCTTAGTTCAAATAGTTTACTACGTAATATTATTGTCTGATTGTATATAAAGCTTCACTCAATTAATATTATAGAATTTCATTCTTCCTGAAAAATTAAGGAAAGTTTTTGATTGGAAGAGGTTATTAAATCATTCATTTAGCAATGTTCAAGTTTATTCTTTTTTCAGTTTAATATAATCGATTATGAGGTTGCAAAAAATTGTGGATGAATAATGATCTGTATTATTAATTAATTATATAAATAATGATAATACTAATATATTCTAAAAATAGTACATTTTTATTGATTCCCATATCACTTTCTCAACTTAAAGAATTATTATGCTCTCTAGTTATTCCTACTTTTTATTAATCTCTAACTTAAATCAAGAGCATTCAATATCATTTTTATAACAAATAAAATAATTTTTCCTATACATATTTAGTAAAATAATATTTTGAAAAACTTCAAATCAATGAATGTTGTATGTATTTTTAATTCAACATCTTAAGTTCTCAATAATACTTAGATTTAAAAATTCTAATTTTTGTGTCAATTTGCGATAATTTTATTTTTAAAACCAAACTTCATCTTATTGTTTAAATTAACCCTAGAGTTAATAATTTTAAGTAGATGAATAAATTTTAATGTGTTTGGAAAATGTATTATAAAATCAAACCTCTGAGTATTTATCTTTTTTCAATTCATCTTTTATTATTTCAATTAATGATATATCCATCATTTAATTATGTATTTTTTTATCATAATATTTCATAATAAATTCTCTCTTATGGGTTTAGTTGAAATATTATAAATTTCTGAAATTTAAATAAATAAGACTAAGAATTAAAAATCATAATCCTGAAACAGAACATAAAATACTAATGTGAATATCAGTAGGAAAGAGTTGAATTATAAGGATGATTGATTATTAATTTTATATGTAAATGAATCAACAATATAAACCTTATAGTTAGACCAAAAATGGTTAAATTTCAAAAGATGAATTTAATATTCATTAAAGCTTTATATGTGGTTGGTTCTTTGACTATAAACAAAATTTAAGCTAATGTATTATCTTATATGGGTAAACAAAAACTATAGGAGTATCTCTAATCAGAGTTTTTGTCGATTCTAAAATTGGCCTTTACGGATAGCGAGATAAGTAGTTCAATTATTTGATGATGATAGGATCCTGTTTTTCATATTTTTGTGCAAAGAAATTTTGAGTCAATTAATTAATCTGTTGACTTCATTATTTTTTTTGAATCTTCACTGTATGAAGTAGTATATTTCGCTTCGTATCCTTATTTTTTATACAATTACACAGTAGGTCTGAGAAATAATTTTGATTTGTAATAACTTCTTTTAAGGATTAATCCACAGATCAATCCAAAGTTGATGGTCAAGAGGGAATATTTCAAGAACAAGAGCGAAAATCATTCAGCTTGCTTTTAGATATTTGATAAGAAATTGAGGGTAATTTAATTGATTTTGTTTGATTATATTTCCTAATTGGAAAAAGACCTGTTGATTTACTGGAGAATTCTGAGTCAAATGATTTTACTATGAGTCATACTGATATCATCTGGCTAACAACTTAAATAGTCAATTTATTGACTAATTAACTCACCAAATTCAATACCCCATAATAAAAAAATAAAGTTCTTGAGAAGATGACTATCTATTATTATTTTTCAACCACAATTTCATAAATAATTATAGATTAAAGTCATTCAGCCAATCTAAGTTTTAATAACAAAGATCTTATAAATTGAAAGTAATGGACTATGATTAGTTTCTTAATAATATAACCAGATGCTAGAAAAAATCACATAAAATGATTCCAAAAATGAAAATTCCTCATTCCTCAACACAATTCATTTACATTAAGAATTTCAAATGCTAAATGTCCAATAACAACCTTAGGAGTTGTCAGAAATGTCAGGAAATTCTTTGTAGTGAAAACTGACAATGAGCAACAATCACTAAAAATGTTCATTATTTAGATAATAAAATAGAAGAGAATAAGTTATTTAGTAAAGTCTTCCTTGACTTAGAAATATTTATTGAATAAAACAGAAGGAATTAGTTTAACTTCTTACAAAGGTTTTTCTATACTTTCTTTTATTGCAATGATTATGGAATACTTATACAGAAATAGATTATGATTTTTTCAAATTTTCTTCATTTTTTTCATAGAATATTACATTTTGTATTCCTTTACTATCAACAATTACCCAACTATTTTATTTATATTCATTTCTTAAATATGCATTCTTATTTTTGAATTAGTTTTTGGTCTTAAATTAAAACCTAAATAATAAGTTATACTTATCTGAGAGACTAATGATAAAGACTCAAAAATATAATTTTTTAAATTAAGCTAGAACTGGACACATGGATTCTAATATTTTGCAGACCTTATTTTATTCTCAAAAATAGTATAAATGATTCTCTGTATCAGATGATTTTATTCCTTTCGTATTATTGGAAAAATATCTGCACCTTTAAAGTTTACTTAAATCTATTTCTACAGTAGCATAGAGTTTAATAATATGTATTACATTTGTATATTAATATGTATATAGATATCCTTTTTTATATCTACTTTTAAACTTACTCAGAAGTTATGGTTAATTCTTTGAATAAATTTTTCAGGACTAAAATGTAGTATTTTTTAGGGATGCATTTAAAAGTTCAGTGTTATATATGATGAAAGAAGGTAAAAAAAGTAATATTAGATATTATTTGATTAAGTTCATTACTGAATTTATTTATGAGTTGACTTTTCTTCTATTATCTAATCAACCCATTTTCCAACTTTTTTACCATTGAGATATAAACCTAAATAGAATAGTTGATTTATTCTTATGAATAATTTAAAATGTTACTCAGAAAAATGATCACTCAATACAATCCATTATCCATTTTTCAAGCCTTAATCGTCAAATTATCCGCTACCACTAGAATAATTTAAGGTATGATAATTATTTACATTTTTTAATAATGATCACTCTATCTTCCTCTATATTTAATTAACCATTTCCCTTTCTTTTTACCATTCTCATATTCACCCTCATACATAGTTTTACTATCTCTAAATTAAATTGATAATAACATTACTATTTAAAATTCTCACTTAAAACTATCCATTTACCAACTTTCAAACCTTACTAATTGTAGCAACCACCTCCTCTTAAATTTATTTATTAATTTACATTTATTCATAATTTTTCTATCCCCATTCTTTATATTGGGTATTCCATCTCCCAATTTTTTTGCCATTTATATATTCACCGCTATTTAAGATTTTGCAAGCCCTACAGATGATAAGAAAAAGAAAGTACTAATTGAATTCATCATTTAATTCTATCCATACTCCATTTTTCAAATCTAATTCATCATAGGATCCTCCACCTCTAATTATATTTTAGATTTTAATACATCTTTTCATTTTTGTACTCTATTTTCCAATAACCATATTTTTTACTATTCTAATAATTTCCATTGTAAAAAATTTTTTTATCTCTAAAATTAAATTATTGAAAAAAAATACTTAGAGAAATTTTCACTCAAATCCACCCATTGACCATTCTTCTTGCTTTCTTGGTCGTACTAACCACCCCCACTAAATAATTTAGTTGTTTAAAAATATTTGATTACATCAAAAGTATGTCGTTTTCAAATTAATATCTAAATTTTATATCCCATTTCCCTTATTTACGACCATTTTTATATCCACCTTCATAGAAAACTTGATTAAAGCTAGAAAATGAATAATTCCCAATATTACTCCTCAAAATTTTCACACAATTCCAGCCATAAACCATCCTTCTAACATTCTTAATCATAAAATCCTCCATCCCTAAATGAATAGTTGTTTCATTCTACATTTTTTCGATCCTATTATTCCACTCCCATTTATCTATCCTTCTACCATGGGAATAACTTCCCTCAAAAGTCACCTGATTATTAAATCTTTATATAAATCTATCATTAATGATTATACCCGAAATTATCACTCTAATCAATCCATTTTCCGTGTTTTAAACCTTCTTCATCAAATGACCCTCCACCTCTAAAAAGAATATTATTTTTGTGATTACATCAATGAATTAAGATCCATTAAATCCCATACCCCTTATTTTGTCCCATCTTTATATTCCCCACTATAAGTCACTTAATTGTTGCTACTATTAAATAATTATGAATACTCATTAAGATTATCTATTAGATCAACCCATTTTCCAATTTTGCAACCTTATTCATCATACCTTCCACCACCTCTATAAGGATTATGATATGATGGGATTCTAAACATCCATTCAGGCCTATCCTCTCCCTCTTCCTTAAAGCTTATATCCCATCGACCAATTTTTTTCCCATTTACATATTCTCCATGATACATGACTTAATTTTTACTAAAACAAGAATTAAATGAAAAAAACTTCCAAAAAAGATCACTTGGTTCTGCCCAAAGACCAACTTTAAGTTCTTATTTATCATATAATCCGCCACCACTAAGGTATTAAAAATTTAAAAATGAATTACATTGATTAATTCCTAAAAATGGTTTTCCACCTATTTATTTTCTTTCCATTGTTGTAATATCCTTGATGAAATATCTTTCCATTCCTAGTTAATATATGAATAGAAAGTACTTTTAATATTCATGACTCAATTCCAGCCATACACCTTCTTTAAGACCTTGTTCATTATAAAATCCCCCAGCGCTGAAATAAAAAATTAAAACTTGATACATCTCTTCATCACCTTTTTCTACTCTTGAATTTAAATTCCATCTTCCAATTTTCAAGCCATTTACATATTCTCCATTATAATACACTTTATCACCTCTAATTTATTCAATATTAAATTTACTAGGTAAAATTAGAATTCGATTCCTCCCACTAACCATGCTTCTGACCTGATGAATTATATGAGCCCCCACCTATTAATTCAACGTTTTCATTCTTTGCTTCTTTAAAGATTTTCCATTAACCAAGTTTTTGGCCATTTTGATATTAACCCTGATACGTTATTTATTGAGAACTAATCAAATTTAAATAATAATGATATTTACTCCCAAAAGGCATCACTTAAATCAATCCAAAATCCAGTTTTTTCACCATGCTCATTATATTCTCCACCACCACTTGAAATTAATAATTCTAATACATTAAATTTTCTCTATTTTTAAATTTCCAAACCCCTATTTTTTAATTGTTTTTGTATTCTCCAATTTCATAAACCTACCCTTTACTATCTTCTAAAATTAATTCATTACTCCCAATAATTTTTGAATAATTCTTTCCATAATCCAAATTTTTTTCCATTTTTGTAAGATCCCCCAACATCAGTCAATTAAGCACCTTTCCATAATACTCTCCATTCTCCAATCTTTTTAAACTCTTCATTGTAAACTCCTTGCCATTATAAATGATAGATTTATTCCAAATTAGTCATTATTTATTGAGTTTCTTATGTGCCTATTAATTTATCTCTATGAAGTGATATTAAGTGAATTTTACATTCTAATAATTTATCCATCATTCTTTATGTACTAAATTTGGTCATTTTATGAAAATGAAATTTCAAATTTACTTTTCACAAATCGCCTCCTCTTCCAATCATAACTGAAACCATCATATGAGTTTTTTCCTCTATACCAATTCATATGCTCTAAGCAAACCTTTTTTAATGATTATTATGTATAATCTAAGCATATATCCATAATCTTTAATAATTTGCTAAGAATATGTTTTTAATATTGAATTAATAATTTCAATCAACAATAATATTTTATTGAAGATAATTTATCAACACCATTTCTTTTCTTGTTGAATTGATATATTGAATTTTTTATAGAAAGGTTTTCAATAACTTTTTTGATTTGGTTAAATAATTAAAAATTTTCGTTTATTAAGAGATATATAGTTGAATAAATTTTAAATAATAATATTATTATCTAATAATTTATCATGTAATTAAATTCAAACTGATCATCATTTGCTTTATACATAATTTCATTTACAATACTTACTTTCATTTAATATTATATTATTTTCTACAGATCAAAGGCAGACTTTTTGGTTTAAATTTTATCAGGTTGTATTAGCCTTCTTTCAAGATGTATTGATTTAACTTGACAATAAATGTGAAAAACAATAGAATTGTTTATTTATTGATCTTAAAAAAAAGGATTAAATGATAACTTATGCCAAATTAAAACAATCGATTAAATAAATATCAGAATTTTATCTGTATAAATTATAATATTCTTATATAGAAAACTCCTATTTAAAAGTCAATTTAAAATTAAGTAATATTATATGTATTATAATATTATAAGTTGGTTAATATCAATAGATTTAATAGTCAAGTAAAAAATTCAATTAATCCAAAGAATCCTCCATATATTCCAAATAAATCGATGGCTGCATTCAGAATTTGATATAGAGGTTCAACAATAAATTCTAAAGGTCATATAATAAGGAATAAAATAACCAAGGGTAACAAAACATACACATCCAAATATCGATAATACTATGGCAACATGCAATTAGCTAATGTAAATTAAATTAAATTACCATCTAGCATAGAACATAGATAACTTTCAATTTAATTTATTCTTAGGCATTAGGAATTTAATTAAGAATTAAATAGTATGGCATATTCACCATTAATGTATTTACTATTAGAATTGATACATATGTAATCATTAAAACTGACAAGTAATTTCGATTATATAATTTTGTTTGAATTCTTCTTAAAAGTTTGAGATAATAGATTGGTTTGTCTTAGGCTAGAACAATACCGCACTTGTAATGCCAAAGATTGAGAATAATATGGCATCATATATCATACCTTGAAAAGGCATCTCTAAAATTAAGTTGTATCCTCCATCTCAATTCTAATTTCTGTTAAAACACCATTCATATCATAAGCAATATCATTATACCAAAGGCAATCATTACATTTTCAGCGTTTGATTCTATTAATTGCCATTTCTAAAACTCTGAAATAGCCAAAATGGACAAATAAGTAAAAGAAATGTAGACTAAAAGTAGTAGTTACTTTAAAATGGGCACAAATATCTGAAGATCTAGAGCAAAAGAAAATCCGAATAGAATAATAAACATAACGAAAAATATCACTAATTTACAAAGACAAACTGTTTTGAAAATATGATCCAATAGAAATTTAGAACAAAATTAAGCAAGACAAACCGCATCCAAAATTTAATATGATCGAAAATATTTTGCCTATTAAGAAGATCCAACTATTTTTTTCATATATATCAGAAAGATATTCTATTAATGTTGATCTCTTGGCATCTCCTAAACAATTCACCATAGTACACCATGAAATAAATTATGTTGCACAGACCAGCATTTGTAAAATAGCACCCCAGAACAATCCTGCTTAAGCATAAGCATAAGGTATTGCAAATATTCCTGATCCAATTGTTACTTTAATTAATTTCATCGTGGTTTGAATATTTGTTGATCTTGGCAACTATTTCTCCATTGTAATCATCTATACGTTCATATTAATTTTATAAAATACATAATTACTCAAAAATGTTTCAAATTTTTGGAAAACTACTCATTCATATTTATAAACGATTCATTTTGAAGAAATCTAATCAACCAACTTTGATTTATAATCAATTTTAACAAGTATAATCTGACTATGAATCTGATTAATTAAGAAGGCAAATTATTTATCATTTGTACTCTGTAGCAAAATTCAGATCAGAATGTGTACCAATTCTCCAAAAAGTATCTTTTTCTTGAATTTTGTTGTTAGAAACATAAATGAAATGCTCTATATTTCTATTAAATAAATAAAATGAAATATATATATCGAATAAAAGATCGTTAAATTTTACACCAAAAATGTAGTAAATTTGAAAAAAAAATAATAATTTGGTAATTAATTCAATCAAAGCCTTTATTGATCTTAAGTTGACGTAATCTCTTAATGGCTTGATAGCATGTGGTTCATACTTCAATTAATAATATAAATTCTAATATATTATAATAAATTTTCATTCTAAATATATTTGTAAAATCTGAGATAAACAAGCAATTAAACAACCAAAATTGAAGAATAAAGATGGAAAATATTTTTAAAAGAAAACAAAAATAATAATAAGTTTATACAGTTGAAATTATTAAATTTCTATATTAAAGATTTATGGTATATCCTTGATAATTCATAATGAATCAAGTAAGATCTTGGTTATGATTTGTAAATCAGGAGTTAATTTTCTTTTTTCCATCAAGAAAAAGTCTTAAATTGGAAAATATTAAAACTCAATTTTTTCTTAAGGAATTTCCTCTCCTATTATTGAACAACATTTCGTATAAAGTACATAGTTCTCTTATTAAACAAAATTTTACATATTTCTTGATTACTTAAATTATTAATGGCTAATAAACATCAACTATCAATCCAACTTCTTCCTGAATTTCTCTTTTTATCGCATTATCAATGGATTCTTCATTTTCAATTTTCCCTCCTGGTAATGTCCACCTATTTTTGTAAGGTGCCTTTTCTCTTTTTATTAGTAAAAGACTCTATTCCTTAATAATTAGACCTGAAACTCCTCTTCTTAAGGAATTCATTATAAATAATAATACATCAATATATTATTTAAATATTACTTAAAAATTGAAATAACTGAAGAACTATACTGAAAATATTAGATTTATTATAATCTAAATATAATTTCAGTATTGTTTTAAAGATTAAACTAGAATTAAATGGGATTAATTTAAACAAAAGAAGGAAGTAATTGATTTGATTAACTTTAAGAGAATGAAACATATTATTATCAAGATTACGCATATAAAAATGTTTAATTTCTAATATGAATTAAGGAAGCTTGGAATAAAGATAATACGCTCGTCATATTTTTTTAAAATACTAGAATTATGTTACATTTAGATGTTTGGATAAAATTCCTCCCAAAAAGGTTATGATCCACTATAATTAATTATAGAAATAATAGCTCAAATAAAATATAAATGCTGCTCCAAAAAAGTTCTAAAAATTTGATTTTTAATCATTGATATTAATGTAATTATTTTAAATATTTATTCATCAATGCAAGTCTAATGTCCAAAACATAAAGGATCGGAGTTCCTTTATATTCTATAAAAAGAGAAAGAAGTTGAATTTATTTGCGATCAATGCCATACAAATTTAATAGATAATAAAAAATTGGATGACAATTAAAATTTAATAAATATCAAGAGAGTATATTATTTATTTATAAATAAGGCTTTTTTATATCCAGAATATTTGTTTTCTAAAATTATAGATTCCTAAAAATTACAATAATTCTTTTAATAATTAATTGAATATGATGAACAAAATTTAGATAATTAATTAATTTCAATCGAAAACTAAATAAAGGAAGTTCAAAGATAGATAAGTCTTATGCACTAAGAGTTAGAATTTAATAAAAAGAAATTTGTCTAACTTAGATAATAAATAAGAGAAAATCTAGAAGAGGTATTTTAATTAATAATTAGATAATCAAATTTGATGAATTCAAATCATATATTGTTAACTTAAATAACTTATAAAAATCTATAGATCCATAAGACATAAAGTAAAGTGAAAGAGATGTTTATATTTACTTTTAGAATTAATTTAAAAATAAATCATCAATTGTTAACAACCAAGTTTTTACACTTCTAGAATATAAAAATGAGTATATGAAACCATCAACATTTATGTATCCAGAATTAAAGAAATTAGAAAATTAATATTAATAATTAAAGGAAATGCATTCTTCTTATGATAAGATCATAAACCCTCAATTCCCTGGAATTATTTAAAATACCAAATTAATTACAAAAGAATTCCAAGCTAAGTTAATTGATACTATTGTGGAAAAATCAAAAAAACCAATAATGAAGATAGAATTAATCCATAATGAATCTAGGACTAATCTAAGTACTGAATAGTTTTGGAACATAGTAGATGGAAAATCAAACTTATTGATGGTTTTCTAATCGCAAAGTGAGTTTGTCTTTGGAGCCTACACTCCATGTAAATGGGTCAAAAGTAAAAAGGGGCAATATGTTAACGACGAAACACTATCATCTTTCATATTTTCATAAACAAACTTTAAAATCTATCCAATAAAATAAGAAGGCAGCGGATGCGCTATTTATTGTTGTACTTCATATGGACCTATATTTGGAGGAACATCCTTATTTAATGGATCCATAATTAATTATTTTTCAAATAAAAGCCATTTAATGATACTTACAGATCTTAAAAATGGTAGTTCATCACTTGGAATCTCATATGAAGATGAAGATTTGACACATATTAAAGGCCAGACCTTATTATTTGGTTAAATTGAACCAAAAATTATAATGTATGAAATATCTTAATTATCATTTATTTGAATTATATTGAAAATGATCTATAGTTCATTCATATATTCGTTCAAAACCTATTAATTTATTAAAATTTTAAAGATTCGTAGTAACATATCATAAGGAATAACATCTGTAGTTATGATTCAATTTTAGCCATCAATATAAACTATATCATTTTATTGATTCTAAGGTTAAAAAAGATAATTGCTATTTCTTACTCTCCAAAATTAAAAAAATAATTAAAGAACTATTCTGATATTAAAAACATATAGTTCTAATCAAGCGGATCAAGTTTAAAATCAACGAAAAGTGAAAAACAATACTAAATAAAGGAAGTTCAAATATGAAATATTTTTAATTGAATTTTTACTAATATCTAATAAACAATCAACTGAGAAATAGCTCTTAAACCTAATAATTGGTTGATCTTTTTAAGCTTTTGGTTAATATTTGTATTCTTTCGTAATAAGTTTCATAATGAATTTTGATATCGATTTTTTGAATTTTAACATTGATCATAAAATTAGTAAATAATTAAAATAATAATGTTCACACGAATATTAAATTTCTTAAATCTACAAGCGATTCTATGGTTGCAAATATTGATGCAGAAGTGGTTTGGTCATTTTAGAATTTCTTTCTATGAACTAATTGTTATTAAGATTTTAATTGATTAATCAACACTCTTGTAAGCTAAATTTAAACTATTCTAATATATTAAGTCAAAAAAATATTTAAACAAATGGTTATATATATTATTATTTTGCTCCTTTTGAAGCTAATGAACTGGTCACTTTTTAGATATTTTTAAATTATTTAAACATTTTTAAAAGTATTAACTGTGAATCATTATTATCTATATATTTCATATAAAATATATTCTTCTTTTACTTAATTATAGATTATTTGAGACACTGTATAACGCATCTTTGAAATATTTACTATTAATTCGTTAAAGGACTTATCAGCATTTGTTAAGTCCAAATCAAATTTGATTTGCTTTATGTTTTCATCACATCTATGAATTAAATTAAATGACTTTTGTAAAACTGAATTCTTAAATTTATTGAAAGTGCTTTTTATAGTTTAATTCGTTTCACATTTTATTCTTGTTGATATTTAGATTTTATCAAATTGCTTATCAATAATTTTCAGAAACACTCCTATAGTGGAAAATTCATCCTTCTCCTCTTGATTTAATATGATAATGAGCGATTCAGTCTAAGGAGCAAAATCCTCAAATTATGTGATTTATAGTTTCTAAAACTAAAGAGGCAAGTAAGTCGTTTAAATTTATTCCGCTATTAAAAATACACTATTATGGCTTCCACCTCCAACTAAAATTTAATTTCTATAATTAATACTTGGTTGAATAATGTAACTAAATGAATTATTTGTTTGATTCCTATCTATAGAACTTATGAAATTAAAGTTTTCAGAGTTGGAAAAGTCAAATCCATAAAAACAATTAGCAAGAATAGAGTTAGATTCTACATTATAATTTTGGCTCGTAAAGTTATCAGAGTTAAAAGAATCATTTAATTTTTTAAAGGATCCATTTACTCCTAGAATGATTTGATATCCCAATTATGTAACATTTTCATAATTACCAATAATATCAACAGTCACAGCTGTTATATTTAGTTGTGTAATCTAAATATAAATTTGAAATACATTCAAATAAAATTTCACACCTCCTTTAAAACCTATGCTTGTAATGGAGACATAACCTAATTATGCATTAGGGTTGTCGTGAATAAAAGTTGATTTTTTTATTTGAGTCATGTTATAACAATTTATTATTTATATTCTTTAGTCATTAATTGCAGACCACTTAAATTTAAAAGCTTCCACTGAACCTGATTTCGGACAGGCAATATTTACAAAAAATGCTATAATACATTTAAATTTTTACATCCTTTTTCAATCTTAGAAACAGATGCTTGTACTTCATTTTCATCCTTGGTCATATTGAGTTACCAAACATTAAAAATCACCTGAGGTATTACATCATATTCTTGAAAAATAATTGGGTAAGATAGGGAATTATTGTTATCACAAGCTCTCGTTTTATTTTCGTTGAGAGGATAATCAAAATCATGAACAAAAGCAACAGTATAAAGTTTTGGCATGAGGGTGAAAAGAATGATATTTAATAAAAAATACATAATATTTATATTAATAAAAATTTGATACTTTTATATTTTATTAATTTATCAATTATGTACCACTCCAAAATATTTACTAATACAATTTATAAGCAAAATAAAGAAAAATTTTTCTGATATATGTATATTACTAGCGATAAATAAGTTTTATTAAATTGAGTCCTCCAGCCGCCACAGAGTCTTCATAGTTGGCCTATTGGGTGGATGTTGAATTAAAATTCCCTAATAGGGTCTTCCTCCTTTGACCCCTGGAATATCTTTTTATGGACATTTGGAATTTTTTTAAAAATATTTTATAAAAGTTATAAATCATCTTTTATAAATTAAGAAGGCACTTATAAATCTTCTTTTTAAATAACTCATAATCATTTTAAATACTGATATTATATAGAAGATAATTAATTGATATATATGAAACAAGAATTTTATCGAATCGAAGAAGTTGAATGAAATGTTAAAGAAAATTCGGATTTTAATTATTTTAAGGGGCTTATTAATAACATCATGCATTATAAAACTAAATGAACTTATTGAATAGTGTTTAATAATTAGATATAATTTTAATTATTAAATAAGATTGATGAATTTATATGACTAAGCACTAGTAGAATAAGGCCTAGGCCATAAATTATTAAAATGTTGATTCATAACAGGGAAAAAGTAATTTTAAACTATTTTTTGTTGCCTTTATTTTACAACTCTTAGCCACTGTTACTTTTACATGTTTACAACTAATTCGATTTTTATTTTCTTTATTCTTAAAGCACACCATGAGCAATTTGAGAAAATTTTATGATTTAAAAATTGGTCTCAAAATAAATTAATTATTAAAAGCATTGTAATTTAAATTAATTTAACAAATTAATGATAATATAAGGGTAGATCTCTTATATTCGAGAAAATAAGAGAAGCAGAATTGAAATTTCCAGAGAAACTGAATATTAAAAGTTGTACAATTATTCTTATTTTTTTAAAATGAAAGTATAACTTATTAAATAATTTAGATTACAAAGCTAATTAAAAATTAAATAGTTATTTATTATGAGAACAATTTCTAAAGTCATAAAAGTTTCTCAAATTAGTGTTCATTATCTAAAATTCTGATGCTGATTTCCACAAATTATTCTAACTTGAGGAGAATAGTAATTGGGATTCATATATATATTTTTATTGAATTATAATATTCTCAGCAAACCTTTGATTTCGAAATTTAAAATTTAAGATCATTAAAATGGGACCGATTTTCTACGTTTTAATCAATGATTTCAGTCGTTAATTTATGTATAAAATGCATAAACTATTCATAAAGAACCGGTTATAATTTACAATCTTTCTTTTTATCCTTACCAAACAAATGCTTAATTTCATTAAACTCTGGGAAATATGTAGGAGTAAATATCTGAGGAATTTATGAATAGTGCATTTCTTAAAATAATTTGTTCTTCGTAACGTTTATAAACTTTTGTATAGTTTAAGATAAAAATCCGAAATATTTTAGATGTCATCTGAAAGTACTCATTCTCTAAATAGATTGTTAAAAATCACCTTGAATCAACCATAGAAATTGGGCTAAAAAAGGTTTCATTAAGAAATTTTAAATCATATCAGAATGTTGGCAGAAATCGATTCAATAAAACTCAAAACTTCGTATTTCAAGATAAAGGCACTTTGTTTTAGATATAGTATCCTAAACTAAAATTTGAGTCATAAAATCACTAAAACTAACATATTATTCAGGAAATTTTCTTATAAACTCCTTGAAAAGGTTTTTTGCGCTAATACACAACTAAACAACAAAAGTTCTACTTTACTTAATTAAAAATCCACTCCTACACTATCTAATCTAATAAATAAAGAAAAACCAATAGTTTGAACTTTCAGATAAGAGTCAATTGATCCCTTCCATAGAATCTGATATAATTTGGTTTAGCAACGAAAGGGAAATATCTGCCACAATTTACATTCTCCATAATTTCTTCTGATTATTTATTCAATTTACTATTTGGAAAGTTATATGTTACAAAAATAATATATATTTACATGTCATTTTGTGAAATTAGTTATAATATTAATTTACAGTTGTTTTTACTTATCGACTTATTTAACCTGCTTAGTTATATAGTTTCTTCGATAAATATTTGGTATCTCCTTAATGATTTTTACAGTTTTCCACTACTTTTACTAAATCCAAAAAAATTATGTTGTAATGTTATTAAAAGAATTTCCATATTCCTTCAATAGGATTAAGTTCTGGAATTTTAATATTAAGAATTTTCTTAAATTATACATCATTATAATTCAAACAAATATCTTTTACTTCTCCATACAACTTTTGATCATATTTTTTGACTTTCTTGATAAATAATTTACAAATGATGAATTTTTTTTGATTTCATTCGTCACTAGAATCACTATTGAATTTCAAGCAATTTATACTAAATTCTTGGGTATTCTTAATATAATTAATTTTTAAAAACATTCTTATTTTTTTGGTATAAATTGAGTTTTATTAAACATTCCTTTTTCACATAGGATTATGATGAATAGTAAGCGAAATAAAATGAGCATGAATATTAATTCGTTAATACAAATGATCCTATTCAGCTTATCTCTTTCGATTGATTTGTAAATCTTCACAGGAAACCATTATTATTATAATTCTATTTTCATCTATTTATATTAAGGAAGAATATTTGACTATTACTGAAAGGTAGTTATCTACTTAAATTCAAATCTGCAAATGTCACAATCGAGTACATGATGTGGGTTAAAATAATGAAATTATTTAAATGAGAATGATAAGAAATTACAAATTTATACCTAATTGAGAAGCCACCTAAGTTGATCTACATAAGCTTCATTAATTAATTAAAGAGTAAAGTTTAGATAATTATCAGAAAAGTTAACGTACAATTAAAAATTCATGAAGACATATTGAGCTAAACCGAAAAACAAATATAAATTTGTGAATAAGTAACTAATCTGAGAAACAAATTTTATTTATATTTGTATTTTATTCTACCAAAGATTTCTAAAAGAAATGAGAGGTATTCAACAATGATATTTAGTAAACATTGTTTTCTAACTAATGAAAATTAAAATGCTTTACATAATCAACTTCTATTATATAATCGATCTCACATCAAAAGTTCATAATATTTTAACTATAAAAGCAAATATATTATCCTGAAAAAATTCTGAATTAAAATTGAATTTTAACTATTAAAATACTAATAAAATAATATAAAATGATAACAAAAATAGTAATAAAGTGATAATCATCAATCAGATATAAAGGATATGAGATTTTTATTGACATATCATCGTCTTGACAAAATAAATTTTTAGCACTTTAAAGTATTAAATGTTATGAGGATATATTAAAAATTTAATCATTATATTGATTGTCATCTTTTTTATCAATTTGAGCCAAAATATTATTTTCAATTTTATTTTGCTCAATATGTTATTTTACATGAGATGGAGTTAATCACTTCTTAAGAAACAATTATCACAATGTAATATAGAATATCATCCTCTCTCGCTGCCATTGATATTAATTACTTTAGGATATATATCTTTCCCCCCCTTCATTTTTCTTGTCAATGAGCACATTTTTCCTAATTCATTCCATAATTAAGTTTTGTTCTTCAATGTTTCTTCAAAGTTCTAAATATCA